TATTCCACAGAAAAGTGGACTATGGCTGGGCTACTGCGGCACCATTATGAGAAACGTGTTTCAGTGCCCTTGGGGAAAGGTAGGACTATCCTGGGAGGCTGCACCTGCCCCCGAGGTGTCATTTTAAAATAAAATTGCTTTTTAAAATGAACTAGGTTATGAGAGCTGTGAAGACTCAGAGGAGGGGGCACCCCTCACAGGCCCCCTTGCTAAGCAGCAAGAGGTGAGAACAACCACGATAAGGGTAATCAGAGCAGGTTCAGATAACAAAAAGGGTGACAACATTTTTCAAGGTGTGTCACTTTTCCAGCGGTTTCTGATGATTCTGTATTTGTCGTTTGTGTATTTCTCTTACTGCAAGAATCTCTCAGGAAAAAAAAAAACTGCTTTTTTGTTTACTTGTTTTTTTTTCTCTCTATTTTCTGTTGATCCATTAGTGTCTGAAAAGGTCACTTTGCCTGTGTTTTATTTCATGTTGTCATGCATGATCTTAAAGTCTCTGCTGATAAAACCTGTCGTACTTGTTCCTCTGGTGCTAGAATCACACCCACTGAATTGTAACCTGTGGCTGTAAAACACGTAGCTGGGGGATCTCGGAAGGGAAACTCTCATGAAAAGTTTCACTGAAGTTGTCCTTTAATTAGCAAAGACTTTTTTTTTTTTTTTTTTCAGACCAACCTGGATTCCAAGGCCTGTGGCCTGGGATTCACACTTGCCATGGTTATAGCTGCTCTAAAAGAGTTACTATTGGGCTGTAATGCGGCCTACAAATTGCTGAAATTTCTGAGTCAACGGGTTGTACAGCCATGAAGATGGGGACAAGATGAGAGATTTAAGCAGCTCATAAAACACAGTACCCCTTCTGCTCACTGCCTAGGTTTTGGCGTGTTCTCAAGGAAGATGACAATTAAATGGGCAAAGGCTTTTAAATATTCTGTCATGCAAAGAAATGGAATTAAGCATACAGAGGTAATTTGCTTGGAATATTAACCTGGGAAATGGGAGATACATTTGAACTCCCAAGTGGCAGAAGAGCGACTGAGCTTGGGTCTCCTACAGCCTGATTACCCTAACCATGAGTAATTTAAATAAGACGAGGGAGCAGGAACTTCTTCTCAAGCTGTGCTTGTCACAAGACTTGATCTTTTAATTGTGCTCTTAGGAGATCTATAGGATGAGAAACGTAGGAATGAGACAAGTAGATGAATAACTTAAAATTTTGGGTGCATATTAAATTTAATAATCAAAATTTATAAAATAATTTTAATATGTTTATGCTCTGTAAAAGTATATAAACCTAAACCTAAGGTATCTAAACCTAAACCTTTAGGTTTTGTGAACCTAAAGCATACATAAAATGGCCCAGGAGCTGAGATGCTCAGCATTGCAAGAGATGGCAAATGTCCATCCCAACACACACTACTGGCAAAAACCTCGGCTGCCTATGGCCCCTGGGTATGTATGAGTTGGGTAGGTATGAGCAATAAACTCGGCCTTTCTCTCACAAAGTCCCATTGTGAAAAGAGGAAAAGCTCGTCTAAGAAATAAGCGAACTACTGGGAATGTTGCAGCATTTGCAAATATAGATGGTTCTCTTTTTTCGTTTTGTTTTGTTTTAATTGGAGGCCAGTCCGGGTTTCTAAAGGTGCGCAGATATATTCCAGACATATTGGAATCACATCCCAGACAGTTGGGAAACACCAAGGCGCGGGGAAACGCGAAACCGGGAGCGCGTTCGCGGCCGTTGGGAGCCGCCCGCGGCCGTTGGG